TTCGTCAAAGAAATCTATCAGGCCGTGACGTCAAGTGCCACATGGGATGCCAACTTTCAAGGCAAGAAGGTGGTAATTGTGCTCGACAACGCACCTGCACACTCACAAACCGAGCAGCGAGTTCAGCCGCACGAGGACTTGGTACTTCTGCGCCTTGGGCCGTACTCTCCAATGTTGAACCCTACTGAAAGTTGTTTTAGCGTTCTGAAGGCCCACATCAAGAGATTTCTTGCCTCGCGCACGAACCTGCTGTTTGAGCGCAGGGAGTTCAATTCCTTCCTGGAAAGTCGCATGCGATTGCTCGAAGAAGCTGCCCGGGAAAGCCTACCATGTATTACCCAGTCGTTGGTTATTCGGAAGGCTATGTTTTGTCAGCGCAATGTCGAGAAGGCGCTTCGATTCGAGGATATGTCCTATGGAATGTGACTTTGCACCACATTGATTGGAATAAAACCACATTGTAATGGAAATGTGCAGTTTCTTTGTAACCATCCTTTGCGTTTCAAACGTTTTATATTTTTTATCGCCACATTGATTGGAATAAAGTGGCACTTTGATCGGGAAAAGGTGTAGTATATTATATATATATACTGGTACTAGTACATATGTCGCACACACACATAGTTTATCATCACGATGGCGAGGACGACGATCTGCAAGTATTATCTGATTACTACGTAGTATTGGGTAGTTTCTAAACCCTCCCGGACTTGATTTATTATAAGTACTTGGAGTATTCTATGAAATATGGTGCAAGTCACCTAAAGACTACAAATAAATGCCTTGAATTGCGACAGCTATTCCAACTTTGTATTGATATTATTTAGGAAAATATACCGTAATAACGATAGAACTGGACAAGCCCAACAGAAGTTACGGTTCAGATTTTCGATTGGTGAAAAATTGATCGAGTAATAGAATTTAAACCACCCGGCCTGTTTATATATGGAACCAGGTAAATTTTGGCCGAAAAGGAGTGTCAAGTATATCTTGGCCTTTGTATACAGCACTCATTGTATCCGGATTATTCACAATGTTTAACCTAACTACCAAGCAAAAACGTAACTAATAACGATTTAACGTCAACATTTCGTGGGTTTAACTGAAAGAACCGAGGCGTTTAATAGTAAAACGTCTCCTCTTGAGGAGTAATTCCTTCGAAACAACACCAACGGTGTTATTGCGTAATCATTGTGGAAAGTATGGTTGTGCAATTTCCTTAAATCAACAATCCGGATAATTATTCGGATTACTCCTCTCTTCACCCATTGTCCATTGCGCAATGACGGACCACCAATATATCAGTGAAGACTACCTGGCGATGGCCGTGACTCTGCGGTTCACCGTGCCTCCAACAGTGGTGGTCCCTGAGTACATAACATGTGTAAGGTAGTGCATCAATCTTCCGAACGGCATGAAACTTCCGAACTATGTGAACATCCACAATACTTTACATTTAATGATGTAGCTCAAGTAACCACGAAAACATCCCGCCAACCACCAGTCACAAATGCGACCGGTCAATCTATATGATTTGTTTGCAAGTTGCGCACTTTATTCTTTGTAGTTGACGTTCCTGCGACCACGCCATCGACCGGGTCAGATATCAGGTACATTTGCACTTGAAGGATTAATCATTTTTATATTCTTGCTTCAGCAGCCAAGACAAAGACCCGTCAAACGCCAGGTCGGTTGTATATATTGTACGAGTTCTATTTCTCATTTTATGGTGTAGCGCAATCAACCACGAATGTGACCGGTCAAACGATGATTGAGGACGTATACTGAATTGTACTGTTGAGTTCATGTGACCACAATAACTACCAGAAAGCATAATTGTTGAATTTATTTATGTCAATTAGTTTTTCTCATTTTTTGTAGCCAATAAGTTCGTAACTGTTTATATTCTGTATTCTTAAGAATTACTACGTATATAGTTGCAGCTTCACTGATTATATGAATTTTGGTACTGATCCTTTATTGATTCTGAACGACTAGTAGGAAAACGAAAGAGCATGCAAGATTCAACAAGCTTATTAATCAAGCTAGCACAAGAAGAATGGGCTGCAGAGGATCGACGCAAGGACCGACCTTCGTCAACGGAAGTAGCAGCTACTAGTAGTTGGATAGCTATATTCTTCGAAATAACATGTTTTGAATAGCGCAATGCATTGACAATGGAGACGTAATCCGGAAAATTATCCGGATTCACGGCCACACTGCTTCGTCATTGCGCAATGCATGGAAAACCGGATAGTTATCCGGATTGTTGATTTAAGGAAATTGCGCAACCATACTTTCCACAATAATTACGCAACAACACCGTCGGTGTTGTTTCGAAGGAATTACTCCCTCCTGAGGATGACCGATCTGTAGTCTTTAGATGACTTGCACCATAGAAGAAATTGCTACAGTAACAGTGCGTAGTATTGTCGATTTAATACAATTTTTTGGTGGGGGCGCTATCGTATCGTAACGTGATCGACCACTGATGTGCCGGCCGGCCGATTTTTAATTCCTCGTCAAAAAAAGTATTTATCCTAAGATGATGCGGTGGACCTCGCGAGAAAGAGCTCGTCAAGATCTGTCACATACACCTAAACACAATGTATTTAGACAGTTCACGATGACGTAAATAATTTCGCAACTTGCAAAATTTACATTGATGACCAGTGATGTGCCTAATTTTATACTTGAAGTAAGTATAGATTAGGGTTGTGTACAAAACAGGCGAGCAGACTGGAATTTATAAAATGATAAAGGTATATTATATTTGAACAGGAATAAGATATTGCGGAACTGTACTGCACATTCTCTCTATTCGGACACTGATCAGCAGGTGGGTCAAATACCCACATGTTTTCGAAGTGTCCTGTCAAGGCGGTACAGTATGCAGTAGATGAGTGAGGATAACGTAGGCGAGGGGTGGAATACTGTAGTGCCGAACGTAAACCAGCCAACAAGTATTGTGCTTTTCATGTAGTTTGCCCGTTGTTTAACTGCGTTAAACAACCAGATGTTTAAAATAATAAAAGCCCGATTGAAGATAAAACAACGCTAAACACAAGTTCTGCATTTCAGCAGAATAAAACAACCCTTACTTTATTTCAGGTGCTAGTAATCGAGTTGCAGCACCAGGCCAACTTACGCCGTACAAGCACCAGTTCATCACGATGCATACCGTATTAGGATGTGAAATGGGAGTACTATACATCGTGTAGTCGTAGTGCGCCCTTGCCTTCCACGTACAGTGCTAAGGTTAGAGCAGATCAAGAGTTGAAGGTATGGCATAGCTTTGAATCATTGGACAGAGCGACGACTACATGTACTGTAGCCTAACTATATCCCTAACGTTATATACATTACTCGGAGTAGATAATGTTAGTACTGTAGTGATCACGGATGGGAGGTCATGTATGTGGCCGGCCATAGCTCCTTCAGTTTCATTGCGTCAAGCACCTTGACATGTTGACGTAAAGCAAGTTGTTTGCCAGAATGAAAACGGCAAACAACTTGTTTTACGAAAGTGCCAGTAAAACCACCTTCAACCAACCAATCATCGCATCGCAATAGATAAAGTAACTTTAAACAACGCACCCAACCGTTATTCAAGTTACTTTAGACATTATTTAAGCCTGAGAAATTTTTAAACAATGAATTTAACCCTGGAATTGCCAAAAAAGGTGCAAAGCACAATAACTGCTACTGTAACGATTTCTGTATGATCAACACAAAATTGTCTGGTCCAATATCTAATTTATAAGGGGCACTAATTCTTGAGGGACTACATTTTGACCAATAAGAGGAATTCGGGCATTTCTATTGGCTTACAACAGTGCCGATGACTGGTACCCTACGTTACGAGGATTTATTTAAATTTGTCCTAAAACGTTACTCCCTCCGAGTAGTATTAGGCCCAGTTCGAAGTACCAAAG